AATAAATTGGAGTGCATCCTATGCGTACCATATATATATATACCATTTTTTATGAATTCTTTTAAAAAAAAAAAAATTTTGGTCTGGAAAAGGATAATAATTTGAAATCGGAACTAGCTAGAGTGAACAAAATATTAAGGGCTAATCTAGCTTCACATGTGCATAATTTGCCTAGCAGCATATAAAATAGGTTCATGATCAAATTTTCTTTATTATATGAGCCAAACTTGGGAAAAAAAACTCTAGTGTTTGAGAAAATTTGTCAAGTATTTGTTTCAACAGTTTTACAGATCAACACTAAAAATATGTTTTGTCATACAAGTGATTACAACATTGTCCCGATGACAACAAAATTTATCCGTTTAACAATCATCGATAAATTAAATATTTAAAAATTTAGACATTAGGCGATGAAGAAATTACGCACAAGAGGGTCCATTTCCTCACGATTTTTGTTTGCAAAGTTTGTGATCCATCATAGTTTTCTTTTGCCATCATTTCTTTGTAGTACTATTATTGTTGTTGTTTAGAACTCACACACGCAATTAGATTAGAATATGGGTAGTGATACAACTGAAAGAGAGGTTTCTGGAGCATCAGAATACGATATGTTGGAACACATGCGGAGCTGTTCCAACACGTAGAGAAAAGTGAGATTGAACTCTTATTGAATTAGAAGTCCAATTATGAGAGAGGTTAAAAGTCCACATGACATGAAACGTGAGGGTTTCGTAGTGGTAGTATAAAAGGTAAGAGGCGTTGACAAAAAGAGTTACGCGCCTAGGGTTCTTTTGTGAGATGCACACATGTGTGTGGCGTCGTCCCACCATATTGATGGTGGTTTGTCTATGAAGATTGCAGCCGTTGAGAAGACGGTGTTGCACAGGTGCTGCTGGTTGGTTGTCAAGCATGCGGTCTTGATACCTATCTTCGTAGTTTGTCCATGTAGAAAAGAGTGGTGGTATGCCATATAGCAATTGTAGGTTGCGGCATTTTCTAATGGATTGATTCTGAACTAGGTCCCGGGGATGTAGAAAAAACCGAACCTCGTGAAAAAACTCTGTGTTCTTTATTTTATGCTCATACATACTCATTATAAACACAAACGTAGAGATCTAGCCACAAACCGCTTTTTCAACAACCCTATCGCTAATAACAAACCATTATGTTGCAAACCTTGATCAATCTTGTAGTAATTTATCACTGGCTCAGCCGTATCAACACCAAGACAATAATAAGAGAGGAGACAAAATCAAATAATGTGGATTAGAAAGTGAATAGGGTGATTAACAGAATCAAACCATGTGGGTTGTTCTAAGTCAAGTGAAATTAACCTCTTATTTCTTGTCGACAAGTGGAATCAACATATTGGATTTTGGAATGCATTTGATTAGATGGAGATGTTTGTTTTTTAATATTATAACTTATTGTCTTGTTGACAAAAACACTTAATTGTTCTCAAACACTGTGTTTTCCGGGTCCCCAAATCTGATATTTTTATACTTTTTAACCTTATCGTTTTATGCTTAGCAAATCAGGACCCGGTCATGGACCTTCTTGGCTCTTCTTCTTCCAACCAATCTTCTTAGGGGCCTTCCGGGCCGGGTATTGTATTAGACAATTTGTTTTTAATAATTAATTTATGAGCATTTGATTTACAAGTTTTTTTAAATGATTTAATACCAATATTGTTAATATTTATGGTAATACAACAAAACATAAATGATTTTTACTACTAATA